CTCTTTATCTCATATTATAATAAATAATTACACATAAAAAAATATTAAATTTTTTTAATATAATTAAATTAAAAATGAATATTAAATTAAAAATGAGAACGGGGACGGGTATGAGTACGGATACGGGGCGGGTAAGTACATACATGTACTCGTACCCGTACCCGATTTAATATATCGAGTTTTACCCGTACCCGTACCCGGTCAAACCGGGTATTCCCCGTCAAAGTCGGGACGGGTTCAGTTATTACCCGCGGGTACGGGTATATTTGCCATCCCTACATGTATCCATGCAACATAGATAGCAATCTTTAATCGAAACATGCCTTTTGCAAATATCTTGTGTACTAGTAAGGCCATTCGGCCACCATGTGACCGAGGCCCAATCGGCACCTCGGTCGAACCAGGTGGCCGATATCCAATCGGCACCTAAATGGCCGAACCAGGTAGCCGACGGCTAATCGGCCACTGAAGACTAAACTCAGATCATTAATCAAGAGTTAAAGATTACCCCTAATCAAGAGTTAAGTGTTAATCACACCAATAAATCGATTAGGGACGTATTACCTAATATGATAATCCTGTCACAGGGTCCAGGGCAGTCAGGGCCCATAAATGCCAGTATAAATAACTCACATTACGAGGTAACATCACTGTTCATTAATTACTATCGATATCTGTGTTTGTCCTGACTTGAGCGTCAGAGTACCTTTTGCAGGTGCCCTTCCCCTCACCGGAATATTCCATCGGAATTCTCGTTCGGCCTTCAAAATACGAGAAGATCCCTAGTGTGCCCTTCAGACAGGTACATCTTGAATCATTCTACACCCTGCGCAAGGTTTAACATAAAAAACCCAAAACAACTAATATCTGTTCAGATAAATTCCTTCATATAAGTAAGAAGAAAAAATAAATAGAAGTTTTTCCGCAAGTTAAAATTGTTCTCTCGTATCAACACTACTTACGAAGAAATGACGTAATTGCTTAAGCTCTTTTAAACATTTGTTTTAGCCTATGTCATATTAATTGTTTGTGTATGCATCCAGTGGCATATATCTACAATATAAACACATTAGCTGGGGCATTATACCAGGTGTTTTGTGCATCTCCATGACCCAGTTAGTGAGGAAATGTGGCAAGCATGTTTTGATTATTTAAGTCTCTGGAGGTGTTTTCACATGAGATATTGGACCTCTGGTCTAAATCCTCATCCATTAGGCTTGGTTCTTCACTTCTTTGCTGTGGCTATATATAGATATTGGACCTCTGGTCTAAATCCTCATCCATTAAGCTTCCTTCTCCAAAATGCATGTGGATTGGTGCAAGATTGATTTCCATGAGTGTTTCACTATCTTTGCTGCAACGTTATCTGCCTGAGTAGAGTTTTGAAAGACAATTAAAGCTTACTATAATATAAAAATACTTGTAGTAAGGACTTTTTGTTTTATTGTTTTAATGTACCTTCAAGTTTTGATTAATTGAGTACGTAAATATTGTGGTCATACAAGAGTTACTCCCAGATATTAGCTAATGGTGCAATTAAATTTAATTATGATTTTGAATCAATTTTGTTCTTAACATTTCAGGTTGCTTCTGCTATCATTTTTCCCATTATCATCAAGGCTGAAGGAATTAATATTTAGACAGATGTTCTTCCCGGTAAATATGCCAGCAAATTACAGAACACCTCCTACCAATTCGCATACTAAATACACATCTTGGAAGGAAAAGGCAT